ATAATATTATATTCAAAATATAAGGTTTAATAGATTCTGAAATTAATAGTTATACTTTAATTAATCAGAATCTAATAAAGTATCTTAATTATTATACAAAACCAGTTATACAAAAACTATCAATTCCTATATCTATCAAAGGGTACAATAATATTGTTAATTTATATATTTCTTATATTATTTATTTTACTTTAATAATTAATAAATATATTCAGTATAATACTCTTTTCCTGATATTTCCTTTGGAATATTATTCTATTATTCTAGACTGTTAATAACTAGATATTCATGATATTGGTTTAGATTATCGTCGCTGACAATTTCAGTGGTGTGCAGACTATTCTCTTATGGTATCTTATACCAAGTATTTCTATATTAATCCTCAGATTATATATCTTTGTAATACTATTAACAAAAAACATCAGTAAAATACTATTCAATGAGATATAGTAATCGATGGTAAAAACGCTTCCAAAGCCTTATACTCTCTATATTAAAGTATTGTCAATTCACTTCATTTATTATCATTCTTTTCATCTAAAGAGATGAACAGCAATCCCTTGGTTCTACTCCCCGGCCTACCGCGGGAAAAGAACCCTTTGTTCCATGATAGATTTGACAGAATAGACCCTTTGAGAAAGTCTCTTGTTGTTGCCCCGATTAATCAAATCGCTCCTAGCCCTGGCACCACCAGGCTAGCCGATATCTCATTGGCTAGTGCACAGACCAAGAAGACCAGAATCACCTTCTCGACCTCTGACATTCCTTGTACAAAAGTATTCTCAAACAGGAGAACCTTTAACAAATCCCTGGGCTATGACCTTATCCGAATATCAAAAGACCTCAGAGAACCTTACTCGAGTTCTCCAATACCCACAATTCAAGAAAACGTCCGATTCACTCCCAGCAACAATACATATATTCGATGTGTTTCCTCCCGAAAAACTCTGCCTCGCATTAGAAAACCTATTCCCAGGACAAATTAATCCTCTATCACACCCCGTGAATATCACTGGCAAAGAAGAATGGGAAGTGAAGAAAATATTAGCTTTAAAGTTGCAATACAAGAATGTTTTTTATCAGATCTCCTGGTTAGACTACTCTTTGGATATATTATGATACAGAGCAGATAATTTTAAATATTCCTCTTACAAACTTCAAGCTTATTATTTTAGCTATCCTAGCCAAGCAGGACTACCCATTGCCTTTACGGTATGGATAGAAAATCATAACAATGGAGTTGACAACTATAATGAGATTATAGGTGATTTGTTTATAAAAGGACATATAAGATCACGCTTTTTCGAAGGGGGGGGGTGAGGAGGGTGGTAATGTGACGGAATAGACGGCTCTCTTCCGCCCATTGGCTTATACTGCATATATAGCATAATTTTGATCACAAAGAAACGAATATAAGAGGAAAGAATCAAGTATTGTATTGACAATGGAAGATTGTTTGATAAAATATCCTCTCTACTGAAATTCCCAAATGATCCTTCCGAATGAGATTCTCCCATGAAATTCCTTATACAAAACTCTATACAAAAATCCATGTAAAATTCCACAACCTTTATTATACTTCATCCACCCTATACCCTATTACTCCAATACCAAATTGCCATGTTTGACGACTTTCCCAATCAAACATTGCATATTCGAGAAGCAAAGCTTGAGTCTTAAATCGATTATGAGTAATGCGAAAAGGAGGAGTGAGTTCTTCAAAAAAATAGAAAAAAGGTATAAGTTAGCTGTATTCTGATCGTTTTGAAGAAGAGGAGGATTTACCTTGATAATTTAGTATGTGAAAAGAAAATATGCGATTATAATTCCAATAAAAAGAATAAAGCAAGCTCTCTCGAAAGTTTGTGTTGCTTGTATAGAAGCAAGCTTTTCCTCCATCTCTTGGATAGAATACTTTTCCTCTTGCATCTCTTGCATGGAATCATGCTTTTGCTCGTATATCTCTTGCATTGAATCAAGCTTTTCCTCATACATCTCTTGTATAGAAGCAAGCTCTTCCTTGCATGGAAGCAAGCTTTTCCTTGTACGTCTCTTTCATGGAAGCAAGCTCTTCCTTGTGTGTTGCTTGTAATTCTCGTATATCATTATACAGTTCCATTATCGCTTTTGCTTGTGCCATTTCTTCAAGGGTTTCTTCATTGTTAGTGATGATAATTCTGAATTCTGACTCTGAAGAGAAATGATTGAAATCCATTTTGATGAATGTTGAATAGATAAAGTTTGTATTGGTTTGTGTACTTCCTAAGTAATTTCTTTTTGAAATGGATATAGAGAGTTTAAGTATTGATGTGGATATGGGTTGTAAATAGGCTTAACTTCGGGGGGCAGAGATATATCAGAAAGGAAGAAAGTTGAACAACTTCAAAAAGAAAGAAGACCTTTTTTTATAGGAATATGATGACTAATAACTCCTCTTTAATCACTTATTATTATTGGTTCTTGATAAACTTGAATGAAGATTCTAGAAAGTCTAGTACATAAGATATTACTTTAATCTCTTATTGTTATTACTTTAAATTATTATCATACCACTTAAAATCTAATCTCCTATCATAGATTCTACTCTTCCACAATATTCTACTATAAACTCTACCCTTCTATTATAGATCTCCACCCTTCCATTGTATCTACCACTTCAACTATATTCACCCTCCCACCATAGAAACCCTCCTACTAGATATACCTTCCTCTCACTGTAAAACCCTTCCATCATAAAAACCCTTCTACTAGATATATCTTCTTCTCATCATAAAAACCCTTCCACTATAGATTCTATTATAGAATCTACTATAGAATCTAAATAGTATGAGAGTAATTTACTGTATTCTAATCTTACAATCGATTTGTGTCTGGATATCACTCACTTCGTTGTAGTGAGCGGTAGGGCTAAGGGTTAGGGCAATAAGCGACGCTTTGACCACCACAAAGCATATATCTTTTAGCATTAGCATCTTCATAGTTTAGTCCCTTAAGGCAATACAAATACGTGAAACACGATAGTACTATTGACACTTCATCATCACCACGGTGATACCAACAATTTGTAATTCTATTCAAAATTAGAAATCTTCTCATAATAAAAAGAGGAGGAGGTGATAATCTTATAATGAAATTAAATGAAATTATCAAGTGATCGAATTATATTTGAAATTAAGATTGCATCATAACGAGGTAATATTCTTAGTTTATTCGTCGCTCAAAAAAGCAACGGACTAGTTACATTTATTTCACCATATGATGGAACAGACGGCTCTCTTCCCGCCACTGGCTCATACTACGTATGTAGTATGATACAACGGCTCTCTTGAACCTTCCTTTCACAACTTAGAGTCTTAGCTTTATAACTCTAGACCTAAACATTATACAATGCTTATCTTTAGGACTCTTTCACTCTTCTGGACCTAGCCCTTATAGCTCCCAAATATCTGTATATATAATCCTTCTTTTAGCATTCTATATAATTCTTCACTTGTAGATTCTAAGTATACAATCGGAGTCCTGTTTATACCCTTTTGGTCACATAAATGAATATTTATTAATCTATAAACAATCTATCAATTCACAGATTGTATTCATTTTCCTTACATTAATAGCTTATTTGCAGATATTCATAGATAATCTATACAAAACAGATTGTTTTTGAATCCCAATAAATAACTCGTAGAGAAAATAATAGCTTTAGTAAACAATCTAAAGGGCAGATCACCCAGGGGGTACCCATAGATTGCAGGTTAATTTCTGGGCAGCCTAGGTCCTGGTTCTAACTAGTACCAGACTCATGGTTAAAGTTATCATTTCCTTGATAAATTCTGACAATTGCCAACTATTTATCTCGGATCCTGTCCAATCCGGCTATTCGGAATAGCTTTAGGCTCGAGATATCATGCCTAGTTCGGAGCCTAGACCATAATCCTCTTAGCCTCTAGGTAGATCCTCATCCATTTCTTTCCATATATGATACCGGTATTTCCCTCAATTGTTTTAAAACTCCATCACAATTTCAATTCTTCATTCAATACAACATTCACAGAAACCTTTAAAGAATTTGACTGATATCGATACCTCCAAATACCCAATTCATACTCTTCGAATCTAAACGATCCTCATACTCGGCTTCGCGAATACCAGACGTCTTCAGCCTAGAGTTGCACTCATTTCTTTCCAAACATTGAACTCACCTGCCACTGAGAATACTCTATCAAAACCTATCACACAATGTCGGAGCCTTGGGACCCCGCGTAAGTAATTGCACAAATCTCAAATCAAAATACAATACTCATATAAGATTTTAGTATTCTCGGTGATGAGATGGTCAGAATATTTGTTGGCGAAGATCTCGGCGAAGACTTCACCGTCCACAGAAAATTCCTCTGCAGTCGATGGGAATACTTTGTGGGAGTCATCGCCGATGCTGACCAATATGCCCACGCCGGTAAACCAACGTTCTTGGGCCTTCCAGAAGAGACATCAGAGACGTTCGAAGCATTGATGGACTATCACTACAATGGAGAATTACCCTACTTTGAGTTGTATAACCTTACAATTTTGACTTCTCATCAAAGGCAGGAGCGACGAAAGGAGTTTGAAACACACAGCAGTCTCATGCGCAGCCTCTTCTACCTTGCCGACAGATTGGAAGATAAGGTTCTCATGGGCAAAATCATGGACCAGATCCAGGAGGAATACGCCGCCCCCGGTCGAGTGTTTTTCTGTGACAAAGTAATCAGAGAGATACACGCCAACTCGAAGAAAACCAATTTGTTATATCAATACGCTCTCTACAACATGCTAAAAGAGCTAAAAGGTCGAGACGAGAATTCAATCAAAGCGTGCAATCTGTTGATGGAAGAATTGCCCGGTCTTAGGGCCGATGTCATGAAATTTCGTTGCTTGTAGGCGAAAGAGGGCCCTTTCGATCCCGACGCTGTGAGTACCTATAGGCACCTGCCTCATCATCACCGCCCATCGATGACACTGCTTCTGGATCATACGAGACGCCGGTTTCCATTATTGACCTCAAAAGAAAACAATCGGTATCCAGCTCCCGAGAAGGCACAAAAACGATATATACCACCAAAAAAAACGCAATCGATTTTGAGCTCCCAAAAAGATACAAAACCCAAAAAAAATCTTATCGACTTTCAGCGCCCAAAAATACACAAAAACAAAAAAACTTCTCATCGACTTCCAGCGCCCAAAAATATACAAAAACCAAAAAACATCTAATCAATATTCGGCTCCCGAGAAGGCACGAAAAGACGAATTCACATCTCACATCTCAAATGTTTCATCGATTTCAGCTCCCGAGAAGGCACGAAAACATATCTCCTCAAACAAACCTCCTCAAGCAAATCTGATCGAATTTCAGCTCCCGAAAAGGCATGGAAACGATTTATACATCAAACAAACCTCAAAACAAACCTGATCGATATTCAGCTCCCGAGAAGGCACAAACGATCTCATATCTCAAACAACCTCCTCGAATAAACTTCCTCAAACAAACCTAATCGATTCTCAGCTCCCGAAAAGGCATGAAAACGATACTCAGCTCCCGAGAAGGCACAAGAGCAGGCATAAAAACTATCTTTACCTCAATAAACCCCCTCAAAAAAAGAACCTGATCGATATTCAGCTCCCGAGAAAGCATGAACAGGATATTCAGTTTCCGAGAAGACATGAGAAGGATGTTCAGCTCAAGAAAAGGCAGCAAAACAATACATACCTCATTCAAAAATTTCTATACCGAGCTAGATTTGCCGGTGGCACTCCATGTGATGCAGGGAAGTGATCATGCAATATGCTTCATTCCTATGTATGGCAAGCGTATACTGTTACTGGGTAAGCGGTCAGATGCTATCATTAATCCTAGAAACTCCTAGAATTCTGACCATCTACTAGCGTCGCTTTGCTGCTGTACGTCCTGTAGTCCTCCCTCCCAACCGCCTTCGACTCCACAAACGCCATGTATCAAACATGAGGACCCTCAATACATGCTTGCGACAATATCCGGTCTCCCATCCTTGGTCTACAAATCTAGGTCGGCAAGCAAATAGCAAATCTCGTCATCGCCGGTACCGTGAGGGCTTCCTGCGTCATATTCCGATTCACCATGAATATGAAATTGGCATGGGTGAACACCTGGACCACCAACAGCAGCAGTACCAGCACCAACCGAAACACCTTCAGCCTCCAATTCCAAGTCCTCTTCCTTAATCTTGACTTCCTTGGCATATTCTTGGTTGACGTCGCGAAGACGCGGATCATTTCCCTTGGCAGACTTGACAAGCATTCTCATGAAATCCTCAAAGAACTCATCACTGTTCTTGACCAACCATTTAAATCCAGCCGAGTCGAGGCCTGGAGTCATTGCAGAATAAATGGCGTTAGCGGCGCAGAACTTGCGAAGGGGCGAGTCTGGTTTAGCATGATCAAGGATGTTCTTGACGAGGGTATGAGTCAAGATGGTGGAGCCGACAGTAAGACCATCCTGGATCGCATCCATAATTTTATTGAGGAAGATATTGTGCATTTCAAAGATCTCGGCGAAGACATAAAGCTGGCAAAGCTCCGAGATGCGCGATCCTTGCTCGGCTGCGGACATGCGACGAGTGACTCCAGGGACACGGCGAGTGTAAAGGTACTCGTTGAAGAGTTTAAACACAAATGGGCTTGTATCGCGGATTGAGTACATCTGGTTTCTCTCCAAGGATCCGCTTTCTTTCAGCATCTTTGCGAACCGACGGGACGAGTCGTGCAGCAGGTTCTTGTGGATGGAAAATGCCATAGAACCGTTTCCGTCCTCGGCGGCTCCAACCTTCAATACAATTGTTTCCATTCCCATCGTGCTGTACATTATAAAGTTAGATCGATGCTCAAATGTGAAGATATAAGCAAACTGAATTGTACTTACTCGGTGAATAAAACATCGGGCTCTGCCTTGATCAATGCCATTGCCTTTGATTTAGTAGCGGATTGATTGCTTTGACTAGCAGCTTGTGATTTTTTAGAATCGGGATTATCTGCAAAAGCGTTCCACTGCTTCGCAGCTTCTGGCGCGTACTCATTACTCTGATCAATTCATGTTAGATCTGCGCAAAGGCTTGCTGGAAATCGATGGAAAACTTACATTACCCATCTTGATGGAATTTGAATATTAAAGAATGAGCGTCAGCAAGAATTACCCTCAATTACAAGTAATCCTCCATTCGAAGATAGGTTGTTGTTGTGATAAGGTGTTTGCTGTTGAGTTGACAGGATGAGGAGAAGAGTGGGGAAGAGGAAGAGGAGTAATAGAGCAAAATCCTAAGCGAGAACTCGACATCGTGATCTTCTTCATTGACTGAACCAAATTCTCAATTCTAAAGGTGAATTGATGATACCCATTGTAGATCGTGGCTGTACTGTAGAGCTGTACTGTAGAGCTGTCCTGTGTAGAGCGTAGCTGTTCTTTTGCGACTTTGATCTCGAGCATAAATTTGTTACCTCAGAGTTCATCCCACACAAAAACCTCCCCAACTCACAATCGACGACCATCGATTTTGGTTCCGCGAGAAACTCTAAATTACTTCGAGATAATAAGGTATTGTAGTCCCTTTCGGAGTTCATAATATTGTGGCTAATCATAATTAGGATTCTCGGACTACTAGCTAAGCTACCTAAAACCATCGTCCCCGATTACAATGTCTTCCTGCAACAGCTTCAACCTCGGAAAGTAAGATCAATACCTACGCTCTTGATATAGTATCCTCACTAATATTCTATAGGACACTTGGTCTTGAGCTGGTAACTGTCCAAGTAGGAGAAGAGAAGCGGAAGTTCGTTCTGCATAAACAGCTAATATGCGATTCCGTACAAGATTTTCGCGGTGCTTTTTCAGCCGGTGGTTTTAAGGAGAGCGTGGAATCCAGTATCGACATGCCAGAAGATGAACCCGAAGTGTTCGAGCACTTTGTTCATTGGTTGTATCGGGGTACAATATTGAAAGCAACAAAAGACGAGGATTTCGAACGCTTGCTAGACCTTTATATCTTTGCCGAGAAGCTATGCATCAACGAGTTTGCAAATAAGACCATTGATGCAATTCAAGATATGGATCTCCGGCCTAACCCTGACATAACTCTTGAGCGGGTTCGCAAGATGTGGAGAAACACCTCGACTTATTCACCTTTGCGCACATGGTTCATTGATGCTCTTGTACACAAAGCATGGAACGATGCATGCAGCTCAGAAGAATCCATTCCACGCGTTGATTTCTATATCAAGACTCTTAAAGAAATGTGGGAAGTTTTCAAAGGGGATTGTGATCTCTGCACCAGCTTCTTCATTGCAGCTCAAGATAGTTTTTCAAAATGGCAGAGTGCATACCCATACCCTCATAACCCAGCGGATCCGTTTAAGCTACAGCCCAGCTGTTACTATCATCGACATGCAAAAGGGGAGATTTGTCATTTGCAGGATTATGCTACGTTTTGAAAGAAGATTGAGAGACATGTGAAGCATGCATTTGGCATATTACAAAAACTTGAGCATCAGAACAATAAAAACACTATCATTCAGGAATAAGGCCCCCTTGACCATATGCATGTAATTCTCTTTTCCATACAATTAGATGTGCCAGTGACGTTCAAGAGAAGTTTCAGACTTGATCATATTTTGTTGGAATATGATTAAAACAATAATTCTATCTCATTATCTGGGTAGGTGATAGAGGTAAGGGTAAATATTTGGATATAGGTGAGATGTCTTGTGGTATTGGCGAGAAAGCGGACACAGCTAAAAGTGTGCGCAAAGGCTCGAGGGCACCAGCAATTTCTTAATATCCTAACACTATCTTGTATGATACACTATTTCTTACCTCTACTCATATTTTCTAAATGCTTCAGGTCAGCATACAGTGTCCAATTTCTGCATAAACATTCTCCACCAAGATCTGTGGAAAGATCGACAGAACTGAGGTATCACGAAATGCTACTGATACAAGTCCCGTTGTTATTTCTAGAGGTGATAGGAATTGTCGAATATCCAAGATCTCAATTATTAGTGAAGTAAAGAATGTTACTCCCTTGGGGTTACAAATATCATGTTTCCGAAATTTGGTTCTTCAACAAGAAGATTTTATCAATTCAACGCAGCCCTCCTGCTACACATGCCATACTGATTAAATCTAGTTCAAGACCATTGATGAGCACAAAGACTGATACTACAGACACAATGTTTGGATTGAGAGATGCATACCAAGTTCACTCAGACTAGAAGTTGTGGACACACAATGAAGGGGACACATTTCCTATTTGGTAACATTTATGGCTAAAGCCATCTATCAGAAAACTTTGTGCCCACTTCATGGGCTGACAGCTTTGTACTGTAACACCCTCAAGGAGTAAGGAGACTTCAAGAGCTTTTCTTCACAAACTATGAATTAGTAGTGACAGACTTTTGGGAATTTCCTGGAAGTGCCATGTACATAGGAGTTGAAAAACAAAGAGTAACAACTGTTATTTTCATGTTCATACCAATGGGATAGAATGTGAAAGGGGAAGGGTTAATTCATAATCTCTACCTTCCATTTCTTTTATATGAGATGGTGGGTCAAGATGGAGTTCATAAAATTCACTATTTGAGTGCTATGTTCATCGAATTTTGTCAATTTGACCCAAGGATAAACTTCTGTCAGTTTCTCTTCAATTTCCGATCAACAAAGCATCAATAAACTCCAAATCTTGCAACAATTTCATCCTATCCGAATTCTTCATGAGTTAGTTCTATCTTGTCTGTCAAAGACTCAAAGAGATATTTCGAAGATCTCTCTAAGTCCATGATAATGTAAGAATCGAAACCACCATACTTCGACTATGATTTGATTTCGAATACTCACAATCATGCAGCCTTCGACCGAGATTGTAAGCCAGGCAGAATGCCCTTTGAACTATCGGCAAGGAGAGAAAAGCCAATTGAAACGCCCGTCAGATAGTGAGTCACTTCAGCTTATACCATAGTATTGAAAAGTTGCTGACAATATTTTCCTTTTCAGTACTCTCGGAATTGAAATTGTCAGTCTCATCGTCGGACCGAACCGAACAGAAGTTACAGTGCACAAGAGGCTCATATGCGACTCCTGCGATTACTTTCGAAAAGCTTTGGATGGGCCATTCTTGGAAGGAGTCGAGGGAAAAATCTACTTTACAGATGACAGCTCGGATGCCGTGGGGCTTTCGTTGAGTGGCTGTATCGACGTGCCATCCTTTTCGATAGAACTCATGCTCAATTTGATACATTGATAAAGCTCTACTTGTTGTCGGAGAAATGGTGCTTTTACGATCTTGGAAATGTTGTTATCGATGTTATTATACAGTTCTTTTGGATATCGGACCGTACACCCAGTTATGTCAACCATTTACTACCAGAAGTGGTCAGTCACATTTGGAGCCACACTGAAGAGCATTCGCCATTGAGAGGACTTTGCATCAAGAGATTAGCCTGGATTCATCACGATGATTATAGACTTAACATCATTCCTGGTAGAGAAAGGTTGAGGCAGCTTTGGATTGTGTGTAAAGATCACAGCAGCTTCTTTGGGGACACCTTTGCATATTACCAGAACTTGACTCGGGAGAATATGCCACCGAATCCTGGTCGTATACAAGAGAGCAGATATTCCTGCGACTCATGGATATTTGATTTTTGTTCGTATCATCGTCATAACAAGGGAGAGGAATGTATAAAACCGATGGCAACCGAGGAAATGATACAGGATGATGAGCCTGAGTATCATGACTATTTTGCCGACATGACTGTTGCTGAAAGTAGAGAATGAAGTCCGAATATTTGGCAAAGAATAACAACGCGGAAAATTAAACTCGTTTGATTGGCAATTTTATATCAAATTCAGAGGTAAATTTACGATGAATTGGGATGTTAAAATGTAGCTAACATACAACTCTTCATTATAGCTTTTATTTTAGCCAAATAAGCCATGTTGGAAATACCTGAGGGCTGATACTGTCTATAATTGGAGCGAGAGGTATCAACTGGTCGACTACCGGAGGAATTGGAATAAGTGATGTATCCAGATCTATGGAGCTCGATAATGAATGAATAATGTTAGAACTGAAGGCTGTCCAATATACAACAGACTGCACATGTGATTTACCAAGTTGTGCCCAAATATACCGAATCCCTAATTATTGCACTTCTAGAGTAAGGATTTCATTTCATATACCCCAAAGAATGTTTTGGGCATAAGATAAGCCAATCTGTTGTCCCCTGTTGTTTGAAATCGAGGTCTAGATTATCAACATATTTCATGCTCTTAGTTATCCACCTTACTCATACTCGAGTAGCTAGCAACCATTACGAAAATTATGGGAGGTAAAGGTTTGAATGATGTATACCCCGAGGATTCCATTTGAAATCCCCACCTTGCCTCTCCACTTCCAATCATACTACTCCCTATATATAACCTCTTGAAGTTCCTTCAATTTTCAATTCTTCAATTTCCTCCCTTTACATGTCACCTTCTTCCCACCTCTGGATAGATACCGCACACCGCGGAAGAAAATTTTCAAATCGTACTCTTCACACGGCTAAAAATAGACATATCAGCGACACACCAACATTTATCCCCTAGCAACCAGCCAATCGACTCTCGCATTACCCGAGTGAATAATTACTCCCATCCAACCTCTTTTCTTCACTTCCCATAAACATTAGTCGACGCATATATCTCAGGTGGCGAAATTCTCAACCCCTATATCACGACGATCCTCTCGCTTAAGAACACGAGAATGAATCAATAAAACTCTTCCATTATAAAACCACCACCACAACCACAACTAGCATCTTCTGTTCCTCCACACCAATCAAAATTAAGACTTACAAATCTCAGCTCATCTCAGCCAATCCAGATATCCAATCTATAATTCTTACAGACTTCTATCTTCTATCTTCTATCTTCTGATCAGATTCCTGTGCTGCATGCAAACATGCATGCATACCTGTATAGATTCCGTCACCGGCATGATTTATAAATATCATTCTCGTTTTTGAAATTCCCTCAAATTCCTTGATACCTTCCTATACGTATACATCTATCCTAATTTACACTATGTGTCCTGATATCTACATCAATATCCCTGGGTACTTACTCTGTATAATCCACAAGAAACGCAACACACAA